ACATCTATCTTGTATTTGAATCAGAAGATGATATTGCACCCTGCACTGCAAAAGGTCACCCAAAACAATCTTTTGTAAAAATTTACAAAGATGGACAAATAATTGAGAAAGGAGAGGTTAGAGCGTCTGTGAAAATTGATGAAGACATTTGTCGAACAAGTATCACATGTTATGCAGAGAATGGAGAAGTTAATGCAACTATACCACTAGACAAATGTAACACAGGTAATTTAACAATAGTCAGGGTTGCTACAGTACAAGGGTAACAACTCGATGACGTCGTTATTAAAAAAAATGTAATTTAGCTTTTTTGGAATTGTAGAAAAATAGTTGCAAAATCCAATATGTTTCCTAGAATTACATCATTTATAATAGGCTATTTATAGTCTGATTACATTCACATTCATTTTCTGAGTGCATATTACAAAAAGCGGGCTAAGAAATTTGATTTGCAATTAACAATTTGTTTTTCTGTTATATTAATAGATCTTACTCTTGTATTTGAATCAGAAGATGGTATTGCGACGTGCATTGCAAAGGGTCATCCAAAACCATCTTTTGTAAAAATTTACAAAGATGGACAAATAATGGAGAAAGGAGAACTTATAGCATCTGTGAAAATTAATAAAGAGGTTTGTCAATCAAATATAACATGCTATGCAGAGAATGGCAAAGTTAATGCAACTAATCCGCTAGAGAAATGTAACACAGGTAATTGAACAATAGTGACACGTAGCAAATTTAATGAAGGCATTACTACAACTATAATTTTGTTGTTTTCGGCATAGTACAAAAAGTAATTAATTTTATAATATAAATAATTTGTATATATTGAATAATTTTTATTTAACCAAAGTCCTAATTTTTCTTTCAGACAATCAAATAGATTTTATTCTTGTGTTTAAATCAGAAAATGGTATTGCAACGTGCACTGCAAAGGGTCATCCTAATCCATTTCGTGTAATGATATACAAATATGGAAAAATAACTGAGTCTGGAGAAGGTAAAGCATCTGTGAAAATTAATGATGATATTTGTCAATCAAACATCACATGTTATGCAGAGAATGGAGAAGTTAATGCAACAGAACCACTAAAGTCCTGCAACACAGGTAACTTGTACTTTCTACACAAGAAATAGAAGGCCTAGCAGATGTGATTTTCCCAGCTATATATAATTTTTTTTAAGCGAAAGTTTTGATTTTTCGTTTGCATTATTGTCAATAAAGAAATGGTTTTTATTTTGCAGTAGTGTGTCACTATTATACACAATTTTTACTATTAGTGTTGTGAGTCACAGTGTACTGAGTTTCAATTTAAAACATTGCAGTGTCTTGTGTTGTATGGTATAAAAAAGAAAAATACATGAGATGACTGTAATAATAGAGGAATACTTGTTTCATAATGCCTAGAATATTTCTGTAGATTGTAATTTTTCATTTCAACCCCAATAATTCTCATAAAATTACTATCACGGCAACTGTCGCAATACGATGCAATCTCTCAGATTTGCCTATTATTTAGTAAGGAATAATACCAAGTTAGTGGTGTCGAACTAAGCAAGTATATAAAGTAGTAAGAGTTTTGCTAAAATCATTGTTTTCTGTAATAAATGATTAATAATTTTGAACAGACTATACACTAACAATTCTTACCCATGTCTTTTTTTCCAAGTTGATCTAAAACATAAACAGACATAATTTAAACCAAAGGATTTAAATAAATCAATTTGATGATGCTACTGCTGATGATGATGATGATGATACTACTTTTAGTACAAGATGACACAAACTAACTGACTCGAGTGACTAATAAATGTTATTAAACGTGGCGTAATTTACAAAGACAGTAAACTTTTGTTAAATTTACAGAAAACTGCAAACGATACTTATCAAGTTTAGGGGAAGGAAGTAATACATGGTGCCTATTTAGATTGAATTAATTTTGTTGTTGTTAAAAAGCAAACATATATAGTGTTTTTTTTTATTAGGTCTTTCAAATTCACAACCAATATTAATACAGACAGTGCTTATTGTAACAGTACCTACAGCAATCATAATTTGCTCTGTTGCAACGTGTCTGATAATAGGCTGCTACATCCATGTACGTATTAAGGTAAATCTTATTCACTGATACAATTTTTGTTTTTATTAAATTCACCTAAAAGAAGGCACAGAGAAGAAAACGCATGCGTAATCCCAAACGCTTCCAATTCGCACGAGTAAATTTGACTAGTGGAAAACTAATTTAATGTGTGCCTTCTGTTTGTGATTTTAAACACAATCTGAAATGGGATCTACATGATTTAGCAAAACACCACATTTATTGATATCTACTAATAAGCATAGTTAGGTTCTGAGTACACTAATTGGAATCCGAAGGAGCTATTATTTCCTTAAAACAAAAAATTGCCTAAAGCCCGCAGGGCTGAAGCTAATTTTTGAAAGAAAAAATGGTTCCTAAGGAGGCAGTATATCAACATAATAATCAGTCGGTAATAAGAAAATTCAATGCAAATAAATGTGATGACGTCACCACCGACTTAAAATAATGTTAATTATATCAGTACGTTTAAATAAAAAAGAACGTATTAAAAGAGTGTTATGTTTTATTTATTTAGAAAAGGAAGGAGAGAAAGAATCGTCTCCAGTTACAAAACCTACATCACTATGAAGAACTTTCATACAGCTGTACAAAGAGACTTTCTCATGCGGATGATGGTTACGCAAAGGGAATACCTACTGCAGATGAATCTTGCTCTAATACTGATGAAACTTACGAAAAACCTTTAAAGTTATAATTTTTTTCGCAAATGTTTTAATGTTTTACTCTAATGTTTATATATTTAGTGATATCTTTTACATGGACAAACTCTGATCCATTACAAGCACTGATTTCCACACAGGCTAATTAACAAAGATACAATAAATGCACATAGTTGTTGTTTTTTTAAGTTTAAAAAACAAACATAAAAAGTAGTTAAATCGGGAAAAGTTTAAAATCACATCAAATCACAAATGGAAGCCAAAGATATATTATATAAATGCACTAAATTAAAACGATTAATTACAGCAACAATTAAAACTAAAGTACAGTATTTAATATGGTTGCAGGATCCAAAAAATAATCAACTACACAGAATCGAAATGTACAAAGGATATCTATATTAATGATGTAGCAATAAGAGATCATTCAGTTAGTGACATTTATGTGTACTAAATTTATGAAATGAATGTTCAACGGAGGTAAAGCGTTGCTTTTTTGCGTTACAGAATGAAGCCAACAATGTTGACATGAAACACTGCTTCGAAAAAACCCAAGAATTATATAGTTTTATACTTCCATTTTCGGGCATCTATGCTGTTTACTAATATTTGTCGCTTCTCCTTAAGTTAATTACCTGTTGAACAATGATCAATGTATTTTTGGGTTGTTTTTTTTTTGTATAGTATATTTTTACTGGTATACTTCATACTTATTATGGAATTTTTAAAAAAGTATGAGATGGATTATTATTATTATTATTATTATTATTATTATTATTATTATTATTATTATTAATAATAATAATTTATATTAATATTAATTATTATTATTATTATCATTAGTTAAGTATCAATGACTTATTTATCATAATTCACCTACGAAAATAAGAATCTTTTAAAAGGGTTATGTTAAAAAGCTTTGCTTGTAATTTCTTGCATCCCTGTTTCATATTTTCATATATATTGTTATATTACATTAAAGAAAATTTTACTTCTGTGAAATAAATCGAACTTGAATTGACTTGTGTTCATCGAGAAGTTTATATATTCATGCTATTATGTTTAATAATTACAAACCGATACTCTTTCATTTAATTTATCATAGGTAATGTTCTTACAGTATAATGTGTTTATTGCGTGAAAGAATAAACTGAAACCGAAACTTAAACAAAAAATCATTATTACTGTATTACGCCACTGTCGTTATTCCATCATCACCAGTGGCTTATCTAGGGAGGGCCACCCCCACCTCCCCAAAAATCACCGTCAAGTAGTTAAAATCACCTAAAATCATATTTTTCCCCTCATTAGCGCCCCTCAACTGATCATTGAACCCCACTTTACCTTCGCCCCCACTCCCCGATCAGCCCCAATTTCAAGACTTGTAGATACGCCACTGATCATCACAATAATGTAATTATCATAATCTTCGAGTACATCGTTATCATGATGATTTTCGTCTTTTTTTTATTATTCGTTGTTTCTACTTTGTCGATACCCATCGTTCATTCTGTTACCCTAATTAGAATAAACGAGGAGCTCTGATCTGAATGAGGAGTTCCTTTAACAGTCGGACCCAGCATATTTTTGGATGCTAGAAGAGTGCCTCTGGGATGCGAATGGCATCAGTGGGAGGAACAGAACTGAATTGAACTGAATGCCATGATAATTTTAAATACAATTTGAGTTAATGGAACACTCATTTGTGGACTGGGAGAATCCCCAACTACGAGGGGCACACATCCTCCAAAAAAAGAAGTTCGCCAGCAGATGCCATACCCCCATTGAAAATGTTACTCTCAAGTAATTAAAATCAAGTAGTTAAAAATTCACATTTGCGCCCCCATCACCCCCCCCCCCTCCACTCACCACAGTTGCTTTTTTCTTCTTTTTTTCCATTATACAACATGATAACTAACAATCGAATACAGAAAGAAACCTAAACAAACACGAAAATGAAATTGAAAAGGTTACCAAAAAAATTATACATATGGCTTAATATAAAATAACTTCACACGCTTAGACAATCAGTGTGTTTCTGCCTTTATTACATCAAAATGTTGTTCTGCTTGCAAATTGTATTTTAAAATCCTTACCACTAACTAAAATAGAGCTCTCAACAAAACTAGATTTTGTCTGTTCAATTTTCTAAGTGCGGTACGTATTTTCCGGACCAAAACCGAGTAAAAACGCAATTGTTTAAACATTTCGTAACCATCTCAGAAACCCACTAGATCGATTTGATGGGTGCAACGACTATCAGAGGCTAAATTTATTGTGAAAACAATGTACTGAACGTTGTTAAAATTGGAAGCATGTATCCTTATTAGGCCAATATTTTTACAAACTCAAAAGTGCACAATTTCTACTATAAACGATTTATTCTTTTTGTATATTATTATGACCCGTTCGTATATACTAGTGTTTAATATTATCTACATACATAGAATTACTGTTTTATCTAATTTCAGCCTTTAACACGGATATGATGTCTACCTATTTCGATTAAGTGATAAGCCTACCAAAAGTTCGTAGGCTTATCACTCCAGTGTTACGTTGACGCAGTCTCGCAATGACGCCATAATAATCAGTGGCAGATTTAAGTGGGGCCGAGCCGACCCTAATTTGTTCAAAATTATTTGTAAAAAATGGGAAAAAAAACAAAGGAGAATTATAATTAGAATTTATGTTTGAGAGTGCCATTTCCGGCAATCTAGAGGTGCCATAATCATAAATTTTCTTACCTCAGCCCCAACCATGGTGGGGCTGAGGTGGTAGTCCAGCTACACTCTCCATCTGTAAAAGTTCCTCTCTGGGCCCAGCTCTATTTCAAATTACTGGATCCGCCACTGGATATTTTGAAAATTTCCTATGGAAATAAATGTTAATTGCATTGCTTAAAATCAATTAAAAGGCTATATGCGCCAGAGCTTCCGGAACTTCCATATACATATGGCTTAATATAAAATAACTTCACACGCTTAGACAATCAGTGTGTTTCTGCCTTTATTACATCAAAATGTTGTTCTGCTTGCAAATTGTATTTTAAAATCCTTACCACTAACTAAAATAGAGCTCTCAACAAAACTAGATATTTAGCGAAGCGAGTATCATGGCATGGCGGTCGAATATATTGTTGTTATGTTATGGAAGAAAAGAAAATCATGGACGTGTTGAGCAGAGAATGGTTAATCAAGTGCTGCTTTCTGATGATGGTATTGATCTTAATTTTTCTTGCGTATCATACAGGCAGCATAATTTTTGTTTCTTATTACTACAAATATTTAAATTTTATTAAATGGTTTTTTTTTTTTAATTCACATCCACTAACCACACGCTTTTGCATTGCTGGTGATCACGATATGGCCATGCGCTGACTAAAAAGTTTAAAATTGTGATGACGTTTCGTGACGTTTGAGGTTCCCAACATAGAGTCGGTTGTTTACTAAAACTAGCCAATGAGCAATCCAGTCATAATAATACAGATCACCGTTGAAAACCTGGGGTTTTAACAAAAGCAAATGGTCACGCTCACTCGTTGGTGGCGCTATACAGAATGAGAACTAATAATAAAGGTCCTGACCCATTCGGTTGTACGTATTAAGGCTTAGGTTTAGTCTAGTATCTTATTTATATTATTTGGTATACTATTAAGTCACTGAAAAAGATTTTGTCAAAAACCTTTACCTTTAGATGACTTTTAAAATAGCGCCCCTCATAGCATGCGTCAAAATGTTGCTTGATAGTGGGACCAAAATTCGAAATTCCCGTGACAATTTCGTTGGGAGAAAGTGAAATGTAAAAAATATCCGAGTAACGATTTTATATTGATATGGGTTTTTTTTTTCAATATACCGTAAAACCTCGAATTGAAACATAATGGGAATTAATCTCGAGATGATAATCCCATCTCATATTGATTGCAAAATTAGTGTCAGAAAGAAGCCCCTCTCGAAAAGAAGCATAGCGTAGGCTTCTTTACGGGATAGCACAGTACATAGTTGAATTTTAAAAAATAATTTAAAAAAAAAGGTTGGTTTATACAGTAGTTTTGGTGATTTAATGCCAGTTAAATACACTCCATGATACAGATTGATGTTATAGTTACCTTATTGTTTCATAGTACAAATTCACAAAATTTACAGCATTCATTTTAGGTTAGGCCTATATAATTACCGTCAGCAACCGTCAACAACGTTTGTTGCCTATGTGTACTGTAATATTAATTACCGTCAACAACCATACAATTACGTCCTGTGATATAAACAGGGCATAAGCAAATAAATAATATTTATACTGTAATTGTAATATTATTGATGATAATAATAATAACAATAACAACAAATACGACAATAATAATAATAATAATAATAATAATGACAAATATAATATAACAATAATAACAAAAAACAATATTATTAATAATAATAATAAATGAAATAATAATAATTATAATAATAATGATAGGCATATATGTTGTTGTCGGTAATTTGTATGACCCTTATTTTGAAAAAAAAAGCCCCCACCCCCGCCGCCGCCTTCTTTATTCTGCAAAAGTATGCATCAAAAAAGAAGCCTATACCGGTGTCCAAAGAGCACGGCCTTAAATTCGAGGTTTTACGGTATAAAAGACTGTTAAGCCTATATTACACAGGGTCTGTTAGGTTTGTTAAAACAACATCAATAACTATCAATTTGTTATTTTGATTTTATCAACAATGAAAACCTACAATAAAACACTAATCCTGCCAATGTTTGAGTAGGGCCTAGCTTTGGTAGGCTTTGAGAGAGTCTTGGTTGGCAAATCATTTTTATGAAAGTAATGAAACACTGATGCCATGGAGTAAAATCTTTAAAAAGCATTTGGTTTTGTCATTTTCTTCTACTACAATTTTGTTTTCTAGTTTTCGCTACGGGGCGAGGATCTGTTGTAATGTAATTTAGGCGCCGAGCACGCCAGTGGCAATAGTATCACACCAAAATACAAATCTACAGTATTTAACAACTGTTTCTACGTATTGCACAGCGACGACAGATATATCAATTCGAAATACAAGAACAGGAGCAAAATTTGAACCGTGTGTACAGTACATAATGAGCTTAAGCCTTGGTTAATAAAGGACGGGCAAAACAATTAGCTGTCTTTGTATTGTAAATTAGGCTAATCAGTTAAAACTGAAATATAATAGAGAAAAGGGTTCATAGGAAGATGGTCTCTCTTCACTCAGGAGTATAAAATGGTCTCGGCATACAGCTGGAAAGGTAAAACAGACTGTTGTGCGAAAGGAAGAACCATCACCCATTCACACCCAGGAGTATAAATGCCCATGCCAAGGAGAGAGAAGGGCACTCCGGTCCGTGAGCCCACCGCTTCTATTAATTATAAATATATGAACATATCTTTGCATGATGGTGGTATATATTCTTGTTCGTACGAATCTCAATGCAGGGCTTGATGAGATCAAAATTCAGAGACTGCCACGTTGTACGAATGCGCGCAAAAAATATTATTCTAAGAAATTATGCAGATATGGACCTTTCCGGAGTATCAATCAAACATAACTGTGCAACGATCAATCAGAAGAGGGAGACATTCACTGAAACGTCACATTGAATAGTAAAAGATTATCTGAACAAAAAAACATTATTTTCTATCTTAAAGAATATTTATATATTCGTAATTGCATGGGTCGAACAGCTCATTGTGTAGATATTCCTCAGCCTCGGTTTAAGAGCTGTCTTCGGTTTTAATCAAACTTGTTTTACGAAAGTAATTTTCAATTACAATTCAATTTTCATCGCCAAGCGCGATACATAAAAGTTGTTTTCACCTTTTGCACACGAACCTAAAAAAAAGACAAGCGTAGCCTACACTATGTGAAAAATTATTTTACTGTGGGGTTTATGCAAATAACATTGGAAGTTGCAGTGATGACGTCAGGATTGACATAATACAGTATTTTATTTTATCATGAATCAACTAAATAAGGAGCAAAACAAAACACTTGATTTTCGATTTTTTTTTTATTTCAAAGCTAACGATTTGGTATACGTACGCAATGTTAGAATATATTGAACCTGCAAATGCAAAAGAAAGCTAAACAACAGTACTAGCCCTACTTTATGTAACAATATTCTAATCTGTATATTCAAAACAATATATCATTAGCTTCTCAAGACCAATAAAGGACTATTCATAGTAAAGAAATAATCTTCAAAAATAAAGAATGTATCTCAAATAATAAAATGTTTTTCAAATAAAGACATAGTATCTCAAATAATAAAATGTATCTCAAATAAACTATTTTAACAAAAGTATTATATTCCATATTTTGTTTATATCTTTTGACACAGACATTTTCAATTATGTTAGTGCTGTTTTAGTAGACTTAATGTAAGTATATAAAGTGAATAACCTTAAAATAAATCAAAGCAACTTAGATGCTGCTTGAAATATTATTATGCAAAATCATATAATTTGCATAGTTGCTCATTTACTTTGGGTCGTAATTAATTAATTCGTTTTTGTATTAAGTAACTAAGGAAATAAAAATAAACGTCCGCGTTGAAAACCATAAACTGGGATTACAAAT